GGTAAACACTAGGTTTAAATTAAAGTTTATAATATACTGCCTTAAATTAATATATGTATGAACCTGAAAATTAAACATTGTTCTGTTACGTGGAAGATTAATTCCATGGACTTCCTATTTCTTACAGGATTGCTTGCTCCGTATATAATTCTATTACATAAATTACCGACGTTTCGACTAGTTGTCACGCTATAATGATTAGAACAGATTTAATGAAAGTCAAGACGCTGAGGTCAAGTTTGGGTCCATAAAGGGCCGAACACGGACCAATGATGACAGCTTTTATGAACAGCTGACGTTCATATATCAAGTACGGATGAGAAACGTGGAAGGTTGGGGGAGAGTTGCGGTTTCCCGTAAACTCTTAGCGACTCGCCACTCGTGTAGTTGAAGAAATCGAACGTTACACGGGTTCGGTTTTCGCTCGGTAACGCAGGACTGCGGGGGGAGAGGGGGGAGGTGCTGAGATAGCTTGTGAAAAGTCGGCGATCAGAAAATGTTTCTCGCCTTCTAGCAACTGGGAGAAGATGGGCTAGCAGAACGTCGACCGCTGCCGAAGATCAACAGGAAGACGACGAAGACAGTAACTATTCTGAATGGAAAAATCACGCAGGGCAATTCCATTCTAGCATGCCACTAACGGTTTCACTGGAAAGATACCAACAGTGGCAGCTCACTGTCAAAAAATGGAACATCTGAACACTAAAACCGAAAGAATAGAGGTTAATCGAAGCAGCAAGGTAAGAAGCCTGGACAACGGTTGAACTCTCGTCAACGACGTGCCAAGGTTCTGGAATTCTGCACCCCTGCAGGTGAAAGCCATTCAACTTAGGTGTGAATTTTACAAAGAGTCGAAAGTACAGCCGAACCTGACTGACAGAGTCAGTTAATACTCGTCAGCGGAAGAGTGGCAATCGTCTGACTGAGGTTATAACTGTCTAAAAATCTAGCCATTTCACAGATGCAAATATCAGTCCTTCCTGAAGGACGTAGAAGATGCTTCGTAAGAAGTGCCGATTACGGAATCCGTCACGTCAATGGGCGAATTCAAAGCGTACGTAGGAGCAGAATGAAAAGTGGAAAGGCGTGATTGGAAAGAGCTGTCCTTGCGACATCGATAATAACAGCCTGAAGCTTTTGCTGCTTTGTGCAAAGAAATGAATTGTTTGTTCTGAACATCTTCCAGCATCGAAGTGTGCAGTATACCTGATACAGGGTAGCTTGTGCACGGAAGTCGACGATCGATCGTCTGACTTACGACGCTCTATAACGGATGTCCTCATTATGAGAGGCGCATAGTTGTCAAACGATCATCATTATCATTTTGTTGCTGGCTTCTTCGGGGCTTCCGCCAAATGCTCTCGTTTAAAACGTGTTAACCTCTCGCCTGGGTGTCAAAAAAACCTTTTGGCAGGCACCAGAGGTTCCACCCAGCTGTCAAAGAGAAATATCTGCATTCAAGAGATGGCTTGGCAGCAAAGAGCCTTGCAACTTGTATGCAATGCGAAGGTACGCGCAAGGCGGTAGCGAAAGCTGCCAAAGCGACAGCCGATTTCTCGGAAATGTTCGGTTAAGTTTCAGAGTTGAATTTACACATAGCAAGTATGATATTCTGACAGACCACCCACCTCCTCGGACCTGAAAAGAAGGGCAGGGCAGGATGTCCTCTTACCAAGGATGAGGACATACTTCGGCGACTGTCCTTTCAATAGATGGAATCAGAGAAGCTGCAAAAAGCTTGAAAGTGGCAAG